GGGTTTGGTTTGGTTAGCAAATCTAGTTGTGGAATTAAGGTGTATTTCCTCATAGATCTCTAAAGATTCAATGTATGAATCAAAGAGGATTTAATGTTTCATACCCTTAATTTTTCACCTCAAGGACATTGACCAGCTGACTTTTTGTCTAAAAATTAGGATGACATCTACTGCCAACTGTCTGATTTCAATCTTACAGTGCCTGAAAAAATTTTTGTGATAATTTTACTATCAATATTTAATAGATTGCTCACAATCTTTTGTTTTTAAATAAAAATTGAAAGGGGTGATTATGTGTGTAACTGGTTCCTATTGCAATTTTTTTAAAAAATAAATTTTAAAAGTATTTGGGAATAAAAAGAATAAATCTTTGGCGACATTCCTGTATTAATCTGTACATATTATATAGGATCCATCCAGGTTTACTGCCTTTTTCCCCAGCCTCAATGCCTGGTATTCCATTTTTAAATCTATACAACCACACTATCCAGGAGAGTAGCCACTACACGTGGCTATTTACATTTAAATGTATCCAAATAAAATAAAAACTTATATTTCTCTGTCACACTAACATGTTTCAAGTGTCCAGTACTCACTTATGGCTTGTTGTTGAGTGTCACCAAGTTGGTTCTGACTCATAGCAACCCTGTATAGAGTTTCCAAAGAGCGGTTGATGGGTTTGAATCAATGACCTTGCAGTTAGCAGTCCAGTGTTTATCCTGTGGCAAGTGGCTTCATAGGGATAGTATATCACCAAATATAAAACATTTCAATCATCTCAAAAAATTCCATTGGAAAGCACTGTTAAGGGCTACCAACTGGAAATATCTTTCCCTATTGGTCAAATAAATAGAAATCAAGGGTCTTCTGTCTGTGTTTTAGAAATATATCGTGATCTATATTTCCAAACTTTGTAAATTCATGAATTATTTCTTAAGTGAGCAGAGCTAATGTCCTTTGAGACTCATGATTGCTCCAAGAGTTGTTTTCAAGGACAGGCAGTTCCTAACATATAAGGCAGCTCAAAAATTCATGTGTAAGTCAATTTGGAATTCAGAAGGCATTTTCCCATAAGACACATGTTATATAAACCATGTGACTAAACCCCAGTACCTTTTGAGTTAAAAAACTAATAGAAATTTGCAGCGCAAAATTAACAACATTTTACTGTGTCCAGTGGGTTATGTATTGGTGAGAAGAAATGACACCACCCCCCCATGCCCACCTAAGGAACACTGATGGCACATGGTTAAACGTTAACCAAAAGGTCAGTAGTTCGAACCATCTGCCACTCTGTAGGAGAAAGATGTGGCAGCCCACTTCCATAAAGATTGTTGCTGTGGCTAAGTTCTGTTGAGCCGGTTCCGACTCATAGAAATTCTGTATAGATAGGGTTTGTGATAAGTGACTTGATGGGCTTGAAACAACCCTGCAGTTAGCAATCCTATGTTTATACTACAGCACCACACCAGGACTCCAGGAAGCAACCTGTTTTCCCAACCCATCCTCTCAGTTTGATTTTCAGTCTTTTTATCTAAGTGGCTCAAAGACTTAGTTTTGATTGAGGACCACGCTCCCAAATCCATTTCCCCAGAAAAATCAAATTGATCTCGGAAGTTGGTACTTGAGTAAAAAGGTTTAATTAGAAGAGGTAGGTGAAACATCGTACAGTGCTCCTGAAGGGACTTTGGGATACTTAACAAGAGCTCTCACCATTGATGGTGATGATTATTATGCTATTCATTCTATTTTACTTTCAGACTCATAAGTTTGTTTTTTTTGTTTGTTAGTTTTTTCCTTTAACAATGGTAGGTGACTACACTGCTTTTATAAACAGGGTCCAGAGATTTCTCACAAGTTGAGCGAATGGTAAGAGGGAAGTTTTTCTAGGGGACATTGGGCAAAAATCAGAAAGAAAAGGAGACAAAACTAAAGAGACTATTTATGGACATTCCATGGGATGGGGAAGGGTTACGCCAAGCTTTAGCAATGGTGCAGTGGCATACTGAATGCATTTAACCAGTTCATTCATGATTTTGTTAGCTAGCTAGCATTTAAAATCTTATTTATAATTTGACAGAAAAAAAAGAGAGATGAATAATGGGCAGGAGCCCCATGAGAGACAAACAGTGGGAAAGATACATTTTTCCACCCCAGACAACAAAGTTATCAGGAGCAACAGCTTCAAAGTTAAGCAATCAGCTCTCTGCCCCACAACACACTTGTGATTCAAGTGGGCATAGTCAGAAGATCTGTTTTCTGAGTGGGTGTGAATAAAACTAGGCTTACTGGTCAGATAGGGACTGGTGGAACAATAACACTAGTGAGGTAAGAACACCCCTGAGAATGATCAACCATTTGAGACCAAACAGGCAACATTTACCCAAGGAAAAGTTCAGAGGGTTAGGAAAGAAGGAGGAATGGAAGCAGGAAGCACAGAGAGGAAGTAAGAAAAGCAATGTGCCCTTGTAAGGATTGCAGTCAATGAGATGAAACACATTGTGTATGAATGGAAAACTGATCTACTCTGCAAGCCTTCACCCAATTCACAATAAGTCAATTTAATTAGATGAAACAAGATGTGTATGCATTGTGAATGAATGGAAAACTGACCTGCTCTGTAAACCTTCACCCAACATAAAAAGTTAAGGGGGGGGGGGGGGGGATAGGGAGGGGCAACGTGAATGAGATAGTTATGGAGGTCTTAAATCCTTTGAGGATCTGAAGAAAACTATAGGGTAATGCACATACACACCAAATTCTGTAGCTATTTACAATTGTTAGAAGTAGCATAGTGACTTAAATGTTGGAAGGCTAATCACAAGTTCAGTGATTCAAACTCACCAGCTGCTTTGCAGGGAACAATGCTATCCACTCCTGTAAAGATTAACAATCTCAGAAACCCTGTGGGGCAGTTGTATTTTGTCCTCTAGGCTCACTATGAGTCTGAATTGATTCAATGACAGTCGACTTGCTGTTTGTTTTTTTGTTTTGTTTTGTTTTGTTTTAGGTGTATCAATCAAAATAGTATAGGTTATACTGCAGTAACAAAAAAAGTCTTGGAAGCTTCTGACAACAAACTTTTTATCTTGTTCCTGGTATATTTTCATCATGGGTTAACTGGAAATGTTATTCCATGTCTCCTCACTCAGGGGTCCAAGATGATGAATTCTGCACACCAGCTAAGACATCACTAACTACCTACTGGGTTAGGAGAGGCATTTTGGCAGATCACGTATTGACTTGTTAGGCTTCCAACTGGAAGTGGTATGCACAGTTACAAATTACTATGTGCATCCTTCATGTGCCTGGAAGAAAAGATCTAAATTTCCATGAACGAATATATGCCACTCTAGATCAAGAACCCCTGAACTTGGTGATCAGTTAAGTTCTGCAAGTTTTCTGTGAGTTCAAGCTAACTTATTCAGAATTGAGACAATAAGTCTATGCATATAAGTTGTTAGGTGCTGTCAAGTTGGTACTGACTCATAATGACCCTATGCAAAACAGAACAAAACACTGCCCAGTCCTGCACCATCCTCACAATTGCAGGTCTGTTTGAGCCCATTGTTGCTGCCACTATGCCAGTCCATCTCATTCCTCATTGGAAGTATTCCTCTTTTCGCTGAGCCTCCATTTACCAAGCATGATGTCCTTCTCCAAGGACTGGTCCCTCCTCACAACATGTCCAAAGTACAAGAGATCCTGGCTTCTAAGGAGCATTGTAGCTGTACTTCTTCCAACATAGATCTGTTTGTTCTTCTGGCAGTCCGTGATACTTTTAATATTCTTCTCCCACACCATAACTTAAATGTTTCAATTCTACAGTCTTCCTTATTCACTGTCCAACTTTCACATGCATGTAACTGGTTAACAGCAATTTCTCTTCAATCAGGCAGTTATCTTTATAGCCAGGACAAGAGTGAGTCTTCTTGTAACATGATATAAACAGAAGTTTTTGGCCTTTTACTTCATAGTTGAGTGAAAATTATGAAACTGAATAGCGCTCACTCCACCACTCTGGGTTGCCCATAAGAGAAAAGATTCAGTTCCTCACTAGCAAAGTTACGTCAACCTCATAATGAGATTGAATCAGACAGCTGCTAGCATCCTCAACTATGAAACTGTGTTTTCAGTAGGCAACTATTATCATCACATGACAGATGACCAAAAGTTAGAAAGAGCAGGCAAAGACATCATAGAAAAAGAAGATCTAGAAAAGTGGCCTTGAGGTTTTAACAAGACAATAATAATAGGTTCAATGGACTCGAGGAACTCTTGGGCATCATCAGTGCTGACCATCCCAGCCCCACTCCCAGTCACTTCAGCCCCTTCATAATCTCTACCAGTCCGTTTATCTTAATTATACACATTTGACATTTTCTCAGTCTTATGGGAAGAGCTTTTCAGGGGCTGCCTGAAGATAAATTCCCATCTTAAGTCAGACTTCTTTAACCAGAGGGCCCCTCTTAGTGCCTCTTTTATAGAAAGCCTGAGCTACCATTGGCCATCCTCATTTGATCGATGTGAAAAGGAACATACTTTCTCAACTCCAAGGTTGATTGGAAACAGGGTCAGCCACCTATTTCTTTGAGATCCATGAGAAAATGGCAAGACTCAAGGTCCATTTAAGAAGTTTGGTTCCTGATGTTGATGCAGGATATTTCTGGATCATTGACCTTGAAATCAGTTACTCCCATCTCTACTTCTTCTATTTTTCTTCATTCATGATTTTTTCCTCGATTGCTGCAAGAAAGGATTATGCTCACTCAGAGGTTTCTGCCTGCATAAGGAGGATATGGACTCACATCTTAGCACCACTCACCTTTTAATGCTATCTTAGCTAGGCATACGCAACTTGATGATGTGATACATTACTTCGCTAATCATTTCCACCCATTTTGTTTTTCCTTTCAGTTAAGATTATGGTAATATATTATGGCATAGTTTGTAAAGAATTAGACCCTTCTGAATACTAGTCTCTTTGTTTCTTTCTGCAGTACCTTATCAGCAGAATCCTTACAATCCCCGGGGCAGCTCCAATGTCATCCAGTGCTACCGATGTGGAGACACATGCAAAGGGGAAGTGGTTCGAGTCCACAACAACCATTTCCACATCAGATGCTTCACTTGTCAAGGTAGGAGGTTCCATTTTCAAACTAACTTCTCAAATGACGGGCCATGCTTTCATCCCAGGACATGCCACTGGGGCAGGAAGAAAATACACAGGTAGCAGAGCTCTCTGTAGAGGCCTAAAGAGATGCTCTTCAGCCCCTTCTTAGGAGAATTGTCCCTCAAGGAGTGTCCCATGAAGAGTGTGGTTAGAGTAAGCTATAAGCATTGAGATACTGAGGGATAGAGGGAGCCTAGTGATCTCAGAGTGGTAGTTACTGACTGAGAGGGGGAAAGTGGGCCCTGCAAGCTTCTCTATCTAAAAAGATTGCCTCTAAATCAATTTGAGAACTAATAAAAGAGCAAGCTGTCTTGGCTAAAATTTAGCACAGCTTTAAGATGAGCGCCTACTCTATAACAGGATGACAATCCTCAAAAATTAAGGTTAATAAGGAGAAAATACAACTTCATTTTAGTAAGGTTTGTAATTTAGGAGCTGATGGATATTGGGTTACCTCTAATCATTAGTTTCCCTGAGGCTTATTTATAGAGTCCTAAGGAGCTCTGGTGGAGTCCTGGTGTGGCGCTGTGGGTTAATGTGCCAGACTGCAAAGCCATTTGAACTGCAAGGTTGGCAGTTCAAGCTCACCAGCTGCTCCGCAGAAACCCTACACAGGGTCACTATAGGTCTGAACCAACTCGATGGCACTTAACAACAAACAACAAGGAACTCTGTAGTGTATTGGTTACAAATCAGGCTGCTAACCTCAAGGTCAGCAGTTTGAAACCACCAGCTGTTCCACGGGAGAAAGATGAGGCTTTCTACTCCCATAAAGATTTACAGCCTCGGAAACTCTGTACAGGGTTGCTCTGAGTCAGAACCGACTCCATAGTACTTAACAACAACACTTACCCAGGGAGTCCTGGTATGGCACCATGGGCTAATGTTCTGGACTGCAAGGTTGGTTTGAACTGCAAAGTTGGTGGTTCAAGCTCACCAGCGACATCCAGACAGAGCAACACTCCCTTCTACCATGTCCCTGACAAATGTCTTTCCAGCCTCCACTACCTGAGCTCTTCTAGGCTTCCCTACTCCACAGAGCAGCCATTGATGCTGGGTTGCCTTGTGGGTCTAGAAACTGTTTCATCTTAACTTCTAAATCACACTTGTTGGTTCTAGATTTGTCCTGAAAATGTTTGAAGAACACTTTGTGTATGTCTTTCTCTATAACTGCCTTTCAGGTATTTGTAGCCTGGTCTTCCCCAAACTAGATGGCAGTTCCTTAACTGGGCCTCATCTTAAAATAATTTCTGCATGAGTCATCCTCCTGGAATCTTCTTCTTCACATTCTACTTTGTTGTTATCCTTCTTAAAGCATAATGCCCAGAGCAGATCACAGTTCTCAAGGCTGAGATTTCTGTGAATGTAACTAATATTGAATTGACTTTCTAGTGACTCATTTCACAGTATTAGCTGATAGTGAATTTAAGGTCAATTCAAACCCCCAGGTCTTTTCACACCAGTAATTTCTTTTACCTCTGTCCCTTGTAGCTGAGATTGGCTCCCCCTGCCACTGAAAATATCCTAGACTTCCTTTGTCATTGTCTAAATGGACTTTGTATTCATAAAATCAATTATATACTCATCTCCTCTAATTTGTTTGTATACACATATATGGGATATAATTTAATGACTATGATTTAAATTTTATATCGAGAATTTGTAAGAATGTTTAAGGGCAAATTGACTTGCATGGATATCTTGGTATCTTGGTGAATTACCATTTTTATGATATGTGGTATTGAGTTGGCTCTAACTCATAGCGACCCTATATATAATAGAACAAAACAATGCCAAGTTCTGTGCCTTCCTTAGGATTACTGCTATGTTTGAGCCTACTGTTACAACAACTAACTCAATCCATCTCATTCAGGGCCTTCCTCTTTTTCACTGACCTTCTACTTTAACAAGCATGATGTCCTCCTTCATTATGCGATAACATGTCCAAAGTACATGAGACAAAGTTTTCCCATCCTCACTTCTAAGAAGCATTCTTGCTATACTTCTGAAACAGGTTCCTTCATCTGGAATTCCATGGTATATTCAGTATTCTTCGCCAGTACCGTTATTCAAAGCATCCATTGTTCTTCCTTATTCACAGGAAAGTTTTTGAATGTACATGAGGTAACCAAAAGTACATGGCTTAGGTCAAGCACACCTTAATCTTCAAAGTGACATCTTTGTTTTTGTAATGCTTTAGGAAGGTCTTTTGCAGAAGATTTGTGTAATGCAATATGTCATTTAATTTTTTTAATTGTGTGATAGTTTACATGGGAGAACATTAGTTTTACATTCATTCTATCATTGATCATTTCATTGCCATAGTTACCATCCCATCCATGCATAATCACCCAACCAAAGGGTATACCCTGCAAGCCTGCCCCGCACCCCACAGTCCTCAGCGCACAGCCCCTTTCCCTCTCTGGATATGAAGTCCCCAGCTTACAAGCTTTCAAGAGAGAACCTAGATCCACAGGGCGGGGAGGATAGTAGAGTCTCCAGTGAGTAGTATCCAACCTGTCTAGGAAGGGCTGATGAAAAGAAATGCAGATGGGTCTCTTGTGACGCAATAGTGAATAATTTTTACCAGGACTGATTGTGAGGATTGGAAATGTAAAGGTGGACATTTTATAGCAAGGAGGGGAGTAATTAACCTTTCAGTCTAGGAGCAGAGGGCCCTGGGACCATCAGTGGAGAAGAGCGGAGAGCGGGACTCCACCCAGAGAAGCAGTGAGGCCTGAAATGGAGACAGAAAAGATGACGTCATTTAATTTTTTGACTGCTGCTTTCATGGGCTTTGATTATGGATCTAAGTAAAATTAAATACTTGACAACTTCGATGTTTTCTCCATTTATGGTCCAGTTGTGAGAATTTTTCTTTAGTTGCAATGTTATACATACAGAAGGATTTGATCTTCCTCAATAAATGCTTCAAGTCTTCTTCAATTTCAGCAAGTGAGGTTGTGTCTGTCATATTCATATTGCACAGTGAAGATTGTTAATAAGTCTTTCTCTGATCCTGATGCCACATTCTTCTTTATGTACTCTGGTTTCTTGGATTATTTGCTCAAGCATATAGATTGAATAAGTATATTGAAAGGACACAAAGGATAAAGACAACAAAATCTTTACAAGGAGATTTGGGTTACAACTATGTGCTTCAGGGACTTTATCAGGTACCTTTCACTTAAGCCAAAACTCAATAGCTTTAAAATATTTTTTATTTGGCTTATAATTTCTCTGGTTTTACCAGACAGTTGTACCAGTCTGAACTGGCCCTGATGATTTCTACTGACTTTATCACGGTACTACACATTTAGTTGGTAGATCTGCTGGTAATAATAGGCAGACTTTTGGCCTTGGTGCCCCCACATAATTTCTTATTCTTCAGTAGCCTAGCGGGGTTCATTCACATGATGGTCTCAGAGTTTCAAGTACAATAAGAGTAAACAAGTGCTTTTCAAGCTTCTCCTTGTATCATGCGTGTTAATGTTCCTTTGGTCAAAAAAATCAAGTATCCAGCCCAAATGAAACGTTATGGAGTCAGGTTTGCAGCAACACATTTCAAAGGTGTGAATGCTAAGGGGGAAAGAACTTGTAGCCATTTTCACAGTCTACCGCAGGAAGGTTGTAGAATCTGATTCAATGGAGACTTTTAAGGGGGAAAAAAAAAAGTAGACCATTGTTTTTCCTGAATATTTTCAATGTCACCTTGCTCAGAAGTAAAACAAATTAGAGATTTTTTTACTTCTAACAGTATGGAAATTAGTTACTCTAAATAACTTTTCATTTGGACATTTTAAATTCTCTACAAAATAATTTGTTATAATTCTTTTAACATGAATATTGTACTAGAATGCAAGGCTGGCTTGAACTGCAAGGCTGGCAGTTCAAACTCCTCAGAAACCCTATACAGGGTCACTATGAGTTGGAACCAACTTAACAACAACAACAATTGCACTGGCATGGAGTCCTAGTTTGGTGCTGTAAGATGAGCACTGGACTGCTAACCACAAGATCAGTAGTTTAAACCGATCAGCCGCTCCTTGGAAACCTTACACAGGGTTGCTATGAGTCAGCACTGATTTGATTGGCATGGAAAAAAGGAACCTGCAGAAGTCACAAGCAAAAATAAAATCAGGGCTCCTAGAGCACCTGATTGTGCTGGTTTTTGTCCTGATGGTTTGTGCTAAACTCTGGAGACCTTGATCATTTGCCTTGATGACTACATTGGTTATGGAAGACAGGAGGCAAGGCCTAGAACCTAAACAAAACAGGAATCTACTAGTAGACTCCTGTATAAGTAGACCATACCCAAACCTCTGTCAGTATAGAGAGGGACAAGAAATGAACTGATTATACAGAAAAAAACCGCAAGGAAACTTACCAGACTCAACTTTGGCACTGAGTAAAGGGGAATATGACATGTATGAAAATATGTATTCATAGTCTAGTCTTTAGATAGATTCATAGACTGTATCTCTGCTATATAGTTGTTGTTGTTGTTAAGTGTTAACGAATCAGTTCTACTCATAACAACCCTATATAGGGTTTCCAAGGAGTGGCTGATGGTTCCAAGGAGTGGACCTTGCAGTCCAGTGCATTATCCTGCAGTGCCATATCAGGACTCCTTATTTGGTGTAAACAACAACAACAAAGTAAAAAGTCAAACAGAGAATTTAAAAGAAAATGATCCGACACTTGGCAAATGGCAGAAACGTAAAATAATCCTCTTTGAAGGAACTCAGCTTTATTCCAGGCCTTAAATTTCCACAGCAAAAATTATTAGAAAAACGAGCAACTCACAATCTAAACCAAAATGAACCACAAATCACAATGGAGCAAGAGTCTGAAAAAACAACAGAGAACAGAATTAGAGCCTCAAAAACTTCATAAACTGGACTTTTCTGACAGTATATAACTACATAACTATGTGGCACTGTAGAATCAGGGCTGAACTGAGAA